ATATATAGGCAAGATGCATAATTCCTGGAAGCGTCATGTATGACTACCTTTAATGCGGGACAATGGGGACTCCGATTGGTAAGCTAAAAATATTGGAGATCCAAAAAATTAGAGATATCAATTATTCTAACATTTACCCTTCAACACCTGGCACTATTACCCTAGCGTAATCTATCGTTTTGTTCGGACTGTTAAAGCTTTAAAAGTTGCCTATGTCAATTGTAATAATTCATAAAATGCGGAAACACCCAGAAAAAAAAAAGAAATCGATTGTTGGCTAAAAAATTGTTAACTTCTTGATAACGAGATGATTAGGAAATTATTACCACGATCGTCTTACCTTCTCCAATGTTCTCTCATAAGTTCTGATGCTTTCAATGAGACTGATGGCGAAGGGATACAGCTGGTTAGCCTGGTGAGCCTTATTCACGATAGGTAGAGGCACGCGAAATCCGAGGTTTCTCAAGTTTCTCACTTCTTTGGATAGCGTAATAATCTCGGGAAGGAAATTCACTTTCAGTTTCAGCACATTGCCGCGTCCCGTTCTCGAACGCACGCTCTCGATCGTGAAGATACGCCCGGTCACACCAAGATTCCGTGCCTGCACCTTGCGCGCCCAGTCATCAAAAATCTCTTGCGTTGACAGTTTCATACGGAAGCTATCCCCGTCGGCTTTCAGTTTTTGACCCTCGATATGACTCTCCCATCCCTTGCCTAAACACACGCATGTAATATTAAGTTGAGAAAATAATTTCTACAGCTCGAGAGGTTGGAAGATTACCCAGAACATCCTCGACGCGTTTCAAATACATTGTCAATTGGTAATCGATTTGTTTGACCCATATTATTGATCCAGCTACAGGTGGCAAGTCTCTCACCATGCTCATTCGGCAGCATTTACTTTGCGCATATTGAACCTACAAAAAAAATGTTTTCAAAGTCACTAAAATGCATCCATTTGTTTAAAGTGCAAATACGTATGCATAAGTTAAAGCTATCTTAAGGTTTATTTCATACCTTAAACTTTTCGTGCAGCGCCTCAATATCGTCTTTGACTCTCTGTATAAGCTGCGTCTGATATTCCCTGATGGCGCCCCGAATGTGCGGCCGTACGAAGAGCGCGTTAAATCGTGAAAATATCCTGAACATTTCATTCGCGTTCTTGGCCGTGCCCAATTGATCACGGAGATGCGCCGTGATCCGCGCCTCCACGCGCTCGATGCGCTCCTCGTATCTGTGCACAGCGGCATCCCAGGATTCCTGCCCCTCCTTGGTGATGTCCAGACAATCCACTTCCTTCACGTTCTCGTACGCCAAGTTAACTTCGCTGATAGCGTTGGCGTCGGCGGCGTCCAGCGCGAATTCCACCTTCACGTTGTCGTTATCGGCGTTCTCCATCGTGGAAGTGTTGCTGCTCTGGCGTACGGTGGGCCTGAGCACGCGGACTATCACCGTTCTCAGCTGCTCGTGCTGCCGTCGGAAGCGGCGCATGTGCTCCATCCTCGACTGCAACTTCTTGTGCGCCGGCAGTACCCTCCATACCATCTTCATGTGCTCGTCGCGCTTCTTCTTCACGACGTCCCTCAGCAGCCCCGTGAGCTTGTCGTACTCGTCGTCCCAGGTGGTGAAGACTTCGAAGCATTGGGCCATGACTTTCTCGAAATCATCGAACGGAATGTGCATCAGACGTCGCGTGCCCAGCACCTTGAGCAACTGTTGCCCCAAGTCCCTTGAGATAGCCTCTACCAATCTCAGCACTCTCTGAATGGGATACTTGGTGCTTCTGATTTTCCTCAAGTGCATGAATATCTGCTGCACGCTGCTGCGTATTCGTTCCAATTCAGTAGCCGACAGCAGATCGTTGATCGGGAAGTCTTTCATCAGTGGATTGTAATCGTTTACGGTGGCCAGCGCCTGCTTCAAGCCGGTGTCGGTGTCGAAACTGACGGTGGCGTGGAATCGCTTGCCGTGCTTGAGTATATCGAGCGTCAGGGAAATCTCGATGCTCTCACGCTTCTCCTGAATGCGGTGCAACGCTCTTTCGAGATTCAACCAGAACGATATCTCCTGAAGGGCCGTACCCGATTCCGGATCGCGGTTCAGTTTCGTGACCTTCTGGATCTCCTTTATCCACCTGTTTACGCCGTTCTGCAATTGATTGAGGAACGTTGAGTCCTCGACCTTGTCGCCGAAATCGGCAACTTTCGGCTTACGACCCTCCTCCTCGCATTGCTTGATAACTTGAGCGACGATCGGATGAACGGGCAACGATATCTCGGGGATATCGATATTCTGCTGCAAATGCAGCAGCCCCATCTCAAGTTCGGCAATCTTCTTCTCCACTAACGGCACCATTTTATCCCCGTCCCGGTGGGCGCGACCCGTTTCCTTAACGTAACTCTTGAAATAGGGCGCCATGGTCTTGCTTATCGCGTGCAGGGTTTCGTACGGCGGCCCGTCGGAGAAAGTGATCAGGCGCACTTGGGAGTGAATGGATTTATCAGCCTCGACGACAATTCCACGCTTCGTCAGAACTAGGGAGGCCATTTTTGGGTTTGAAAAGTGTATCTCGTTCGATATATAATAAGTGGCATTCTCCTTGTCCTCATCTCCCTCGCCGCTGTCTTCTTCTGCAAACAGAGAACGGTAAATGTAAAAAGGATTTCACGCAATTGTTCAGTTTTTCAATAATTAGATCACGATGACGGGTAACTTCGAGAAAGAAAGGCGATGAAATATAAACGGAAAACTGTACATCGATGAAAACTTTCAATTTATCCAATACCTTGTTCATAATGCAAAATAGAGATTCATATTATTTGAATTGGCTTATGTAAAGTACATTTAAAGTATTTAAAAAATATACAATAAATATAAAATATAAATATACAAGATATATAATATGATTCACACATACTATATATGTAATACATAGTTTCATTATAGCATGTAAATAGACGAGGGACGTTTATCGCCAGGATCATAAATCTGACGGCGGCTGCGTGATAAAGCGCAAACGCGGCGGAATCCGGATTTGTTATCAAACTACGCGTTACCGCTGCGCGTTCGCCTAGCGCGTAAATGCAGGCACGCGCTGTGGCTGTGCGAGAAGGTCGACGGGGATCGTGGCGAAGATCATGATCATGAGGAACGTATGCCATGCCATGCGTCGCCCACGTCAATCGATGTATGTATGTATACATACGTACCGCTGATACGCGCATATCGATCTCATCGGCCCGAGTGAGTCATATTTGGCGGGAGAGCGCGGGGCGTGAACGCACCCGCGATTGATTTTCCGCGTCGCACGGCATGTATGTATACATACCTATGTATGTACGTGCGAATGTACCGTTGCACGCACCGTCACCGATCCAAGTTAACGCATCCGATAATGGAGGGCCGCGGCCCGGAGAAAGAAAGATGATGAGGATGATCGATCGATCACGCGCTCACCTTTGCTCGAGCTCCTCTGCACGTAGAGCGAGCTGACCTGCGAGTCGCCGAGGAACTTGCGAATGCACTCCTGATTGTAGCGGTCGTCGAGCGCCAGGTTGAACCCGGGCGGCACCGCATCCTCGTCCGGCAGCAGCACGGTGACGGCCTTGCGCAGATAGCTGGCGAACGTCGGGAACTCGACGATCGCGACGTTCTGCGACTCCGGAGACGGTTCCCCGGAGCCGTCCAAGGAATCGCCCATGCCGGGTCGGTTTCGGTACCTGCCGCTCGCTCGCTACCACTCGCTGCTCGCTGCCTGGTGGGATCGTTCTCGGAGGAATGAGGACTGAGAGGAGGCGAGCGCGTGTCGCCGGGGGGGTAGATCGCACGACCACCGACCCCCTCCGCTCCGGAATGAACTGTCAGCGCGACCGTGCCCCGTGCCCTGTATATGCGCGCCCACGGACATGAACTGGCACACGAACTACGTCGCACTCGGCACTCTCGGCAGTCTCGGCACTAAGACTAGTGAGACTACTGAGACTTTCGAAATGAGCTCGACGAGTCCTAGGTTATGGACACTTCACTATTGATTAGATTAGACCGCGCGTATTCAAGCATTCATGCGATGGTTGATGATTGAAGAACAGAGACATGCGTGGTCAGATGCTCTCTCACGCAACAGATTTGTTTTTTTATTAGATCTGTCTTTTTATAGCTGAATTAGTGTATGTACATTTTTTTGGACTTAAAATAAAATTGGTGTATGTTTGGAATTATATGAATGGAACCTTGAGAGAGAAAGAAATCCCGAAGAGAAGAATTAGAGAATATCGATGTTATCGATTGCCGATATAAAAGATTTGAATCGCCGATATAAATATTCAATTAGCTTGTAATGCAATATTAAATTCGTGGATTTATTATTACACACAGCTTTAAAAATAAGAATGTATATTTACGACGCAATAATACCGTATATACTGCAAAACTACGTTTCTTTCAATAGTTATCACTTGCATACATAACCAAAACTGGATAATAAAAGTAAAATTGTAGCTTTAAATAAAAATTGAACATAATTGATTGTAAATGTTCGTATATCTACGAAACATGATTTAATTCTTATCATTTACAGTAGATGCAATTTTTGAATTGTGATTTTCTGTGAAATCATCAAACATCAAAAAACTATATTTTAGAAAGGAACTTTCAAAAATGTTGCAAATTTTACAAAAAAAAAAAAATTAAATTAAACAAACAATTAAATTTGAAATTTACTTCCTTCATTCCAACAAAAGTTATTTTAGCGTATTTCGGTGTAAAATCTTGATTTTTTTCGCTAATTATTTGCATCTTTTTCAAAATAGTTCTGTTTTTCATAAAATAAATATTCTCCAAATAAATATATAGATTTTCATATAATATTAAAATATTTTATTAAATATTATATTAAATAGCATTAAAATATTTTTCATAATATTAAAAAAAAATGCCTAATATTTCACTTAATATTTAAAACAAAGTGAAGAGAGATGTGAAAAATTGATCAGTCTCAAATATCAAATTTATATCTTTATTATTGAGAGTTTTTATCATTTTCCTCACAATCACTTGCATTGTCTACGATCTCGTCCTCAGAATTTTCACCACTTCCTATAAACGTTTCCTCGTGGAGAAAAGGTGCTGGTAGCCTGGTGATAAATCGCGTGGCTTGAGTCTCGAGAAGAATCTGTGGCAAGGATGCAACAGATTCTTCATCCCCGTTTTCGCAGACTTCAGTGGATGGTGTATCAAAAATGTTCTTCCCTTTCAAAGCTCTTATAAGATCCTTTTCTTCGTCTGACTCGTTGGATTCTTTTCGGATAGACGGATCATCCTGTTTAATCTTATAAATATGAGAAATTACTTTACGATCTGAATTAGTGTCGCTTGATGGCGTTGACCACATGCAGTAAGAAGGCATTGGCGGTGGAGGAGGAGCTACAACCTGGCGGTCCTTGTCCTCGGTACTCGACGCAGGATCGCTCAATACGTTTTTATATATACGTTGCAGCGCCCTGGCTTCTCGTTCGGACATAGACTTATGTTTATCAATTAAAGCTTCTTTCAATTCGATCATAAAATTTTTCGCTAGAAGCTTATCCAGCTTTCGTTGCTCTAACAAACATTCATCCGTATCTTCGTCCAACGGTTTTAAATACTCCTCTTTGATATACTCTTCGAATACCTCGTCAAGGATCTGCGGATCCGAATCGATTATTACTGGCAAATCGGGATTCTGATTTATCGTAGTATCATCGGTTACAGGCTGACTGCCCTTCAGATCACTGAATCTCGATCTTGCCATCAATAGAACAACAAATTCTGCCAGACTCTTAGCCGTGCCGATCTCCTTGAATGCTTTATCCAACTTTTGCATCAGCATATCAGCTGTTTCGTTATCGATACTAATGTCCTGATTAATACAGTCCTCGATATTTTTAAATGTCGAGAAAACTTGATTGTAGGCCAATTGCAGTTTGTATGACGCTAAATCCAGCTGGACAGTTGGATCGTGCCATTTAGCTTTGTCCTGTGTTCTAACAAGAAATCTCTTGGTAATATATTACCTATTGTAACGAACGTAAACATAAACATATGCCTTTCAACTTACTTATATCGAACTGGTTCCGTTTTGCAAGTACGATACGCGTTAATAACTTCCGACAATTTAACTTTATATACCGCCAGTTCTTTAACCAAGATATTAATTATATGAGCTAATTTTGTTTCAGGAATCTTCTGGCAAGAATATATCCAAGTATTACTATCATATGCGACAGCTAATAAATACAACATTTCTGATTGGACCAGAAGATATGTGTGATACGATCTCTGTAAAAAGTAATAAATATGAAAATATAAGTACCGTAAAAGTTATAGTAAAATGTATTTTGAAATTGTACTATTCATCCACCTTTAATGCTTGATAATCAATTTCGCCAGATGTCTCAAACGAGTTACGTTCAAACTTTGTAAACAGCTCTTCGCTAAGCACATCCGGTGGCAGCAATTTCGCAATTGACAGCGAACATTCGTAATATACACGGGAAATATTTTCCATAAATCTTATTAAAGTATCTCTCAGAGATTCCAGACATTGCAACTTTTCACCTAAGAAACGACTAGTACAAACAAACAGAAATAGAATAATAATATCTACACCTAGATCTTATTAACATTTCTTAAATTTGTATGGATTTTGTACACTTACGAAAATTGTTGAAGACACGTTTCAAAGCCCAATTTCATTTTATAATCACGTCGTAAGATCTTAAGGCTGTCTGTACACATGAGAAAAAGTTCATTTTGTAACGATACAACATTTTTTAGATTTCTATTTGCACGAAAACGCAAGTATTTTACATAACCAACGCAACAAATTGCGGACGGTGCAAATAACGTTGACGAAACATACATCGAAGAGACTAATACAGCCCCAGTCACAATTAGTTCTTGCGGCGTTATTCTGCAAACAGAATGAATAAGTTTATCATTAAATCAATTTCAATCAGTTGTACATTTTATAAAAAGCAAGAAACATGTAAACATCCACACAGAGATGCTTTATAAACTACTTTTTACAATAGACTCTATAATAATTAAGAAAAATTGTATAATTACTTTTTAGTACTATTATCGCACTTGGCTACAAAGCCGTTAATAATAGAAAAATGGTCATTTAACAAAGTCTCTGCACTCAAAATAGTGTTCAATTGCTCATTGGAAACACTCTTCTCCTGCAAAGAGTAAATTACAGGAAACAATTGTACTCGTTACAGATTGTGCGACTATATAATTCCTCTCAGAGCAACAAGTACCTGCGTTATCCAAGAATAAAGAGAAAATAATTTTCGGTAAATCTTCTTCAAGGTGTTTCTAATATCCTGGAAAAAAAAATAGAAAGGTTACACGCAATATATGCAAGATTTATCAATCTTTTCTGTATGTAACAGATAATATAAAAACTTATTACAATATTTAAATAATGCTCTTGTTTAAAATGCGTTCTCTTGGGCACAGGCACACTTTCAAAGTCTGTGTAACCTAATTGTGAAAGATGCTCGTGAAGAGCGCTACCCTGTAACACAAAGACATTAAATTTCTCTAAACGTTATTCTTCATTAAGCTGAATCAATTATAATTATACTTAATTATTTTAAACCTGTCATTCTAAACTCATGTTCATTACTCTTCATTATTCATAGCGAACAATTATCCTTGCGGCTTGCTTGTCAATAATGTATCTCTAACGTGAAAATTTTATGCCTAAATTGATGTTAAATTGAAGGAACTGCATTGTCAACAAGGAAATTCTCTCCCGATGTTTTTAGTCTTTGTGCAAAGTGGCGAAAGATATGCGTCCACGAATGTAAATATAACCTTATCCTTTTGCTCGGGATGGCAAATGTGGCCTCTTTAAGTTACACAATTTGAGTTTAAGTTTAAGGAATTGGGTTCGTACTTGTATCACAACATCTTCATCTTCCTCGTCGACGCCAGGCACCTCCATCGTTATTATTTAATTCACTGTGACGCTATAAATCCAATATCTTCTTATTTAAATTATGGCATCTGCCTCTTTGCAGAGGTCAATACGGCCAATAAATCCAATGTGAATACACACATATTGTATTTATTAATTGTAAAATCCCTCAATTGGATAGAAAGAGTCGGGGAAATCCTATAGCGTAATTTCTTCACGATTTCTTCAGCCTGGACTGTCAAAAAACATTTCCATTTGTGTAATTACACTGCAGGATAGTTTGGGTTTTTTTAGGTAGAACTCCTTTACTGACGCCTTTACGTAAAAACAAGTGGAGATTGAAGTTGTTGTGTCCACGAATATTTTCAATATTTTCACGCTGTATGCTGTATCAACAATTTCCAGTTCTGTCCCAAAGTAATTTGTCCCCGATCCTCGAAACGATTTCCTACAAGAAAGCAAAAATTAAAGAACAAAATATATTATGCTCGTTATGAATATTAATTTAAGCTGTACGTTCTCGAAATGTTTTGCGCTTTGTAAAATAATTCGATCTTTACAGGCATTTACATCTAAGAAAATGATTTACATTCAAACTAAATCAAATGGATATAAAGATTTTTTAATTCAAAAAAATTTGGCTACGAAAGGGACAGGCATTGTAAGGTTAAATTTGTTGCTCATTGTTCTATGTTTCACTTTCTACATTTAAAATAAAATAAATACAAATAAGTATACAATTAGATATTAGGCACAAGAAAAAGGAAAAATTACAAGTACACAAAACTTGAGAAAACAAAGAACAGTGATACTGCACTTTCTTCTCCCTCCGCCCTGCTCCTAGTGCTCCTACTGTTTTCAGTGCAGCCCTCGTCGATGGCAGTGCAATGGAGTTCTGTTCTATTTTAGCCGAACTTCTTGCGCAGTTCATCTCTCCTCCTTTTCTCTCCAACGTGAGAAGAAAAAGGAAGAACGATGAACCGTGCAAGAAGTTCAGCTAAAACGAACCAGGCCTGATCATCATGCGCACAGCGCAGTACTCGACCAATGCGCAAAACTCGTGAGGCCCGTGCCCGTGTTTACCCGTTTTGACGTACGTAGATACATGCGATTCCGCGTAAAATATGTTATTATGCGCCGTTTCTCAAATGTCACTCGCGAGACGTAGTCGCGCGAGGTGCGGGCGGCCGTTCGGCGATCTCTCGTAATCGTCGGGATTCGGGATCGAAAAGGTGGGTCGCGGTGACTGGCGCGGATCGGCTTCACGCTTTGCGCTTTGACAGAACGGTGCCCGTCGTCGTCGTCGTCTCAGGCAGACAAGGACGGTTTCGCGCGATCCGCGGACGCTGATCGCGTTGGGCTACGGCATCTCGATGTCATCGTGTTAAAACCGTTGTTTTCTCGGACGCCGACACCACGCTCGGCTCGTCCGAGCCTCGCGAATGCGTTGCGTCACGATGAGGTATAACCTCGAGCCCGAACGTGGTTGACGGTGTCGTAGAACGCGTGTCGCGACAACGTGACGATCAAATCTGCCTTGGTTTTTTCATCTGGAGGCTTTCCCGCTCGCACACGCATATCCGCCGTTTCTATTTCACATTGTATACCCTGAATACCCTGATAAACAAATTGCTCGCAGTATAACAATTTTGGTGTCATCTGCGTCTTAATTAAATTTATATTTTGTCGGCAGAGCTTGCAGATGTAATTTGACAGCGGATTGCTAACAAAATCTGTTATTTTGTAAATATTTATTAAATGGAATACATCATTTTAAATAGTCACAAATCAGTTCAGTTTCTACAATTAATCATTATATTCTTATAGCAGATTCTGTTATATTTCTGTTGGCATTTTATTGACAAAATTTATAGCAGACACTTTTAAAATCTGATCTCGATAGATTTGGCTATTTGGAACAATTGTCAGAGTTTTTTAATGTGGGTTGTAACACATGTCATGGGGCCCACTTTGTTTAATTTTATAATTTTACCAAATTGCGTTCAATAAGCAGCTACGTGTCTGTTGATTTTAAAGATCTGTTTTCTCACATATTGTCGTGATTGTTATTCCAGGTATTTACGAAAAAATGGCAGACGTTAGGTTGCTCATTCAAGAGGAAGGTCGCTCGGCCAGGAACTTGGTAGCTTTTAACGTGCCGGTCGGTACGAATAACATAGAGAAAATTACAAAGAAACCGCCCAGTGTGCCAAGGCAGGCACAATCGGGTTTGACAAAGCGAACCATGAAACCAACCACAAGAGTAAGGTCCGCTTCTACGGGTCGTGATAAGAAGTCTGGTAAGACAGCTTTCTTTTATAATATATAATCTCTCTGTTTTCTTAATAAAAGAATGCTTGCGTAATATAATTAAATAATATTTTGCAATTTACATTGTTTATTCCACTTTTAATCTAACGTAGCATATCTTTCTAGAATTACAGGCGCGATACTGGGCATTTCTATTTGGAAATTTGCAAAGAGCGGTTGATGGTATCTACCAAACATGCGAGGAGGACGAAAACATCTCTGAGTGCAAGGAAGTTATTTTGGTGCTCGAGAACTACACCCGAGACTTTCATAATTTAATAGAATGGTTCAAAGTTAAGTGGGCCTACGAAAATTCATCGCCACCGTTACGACGAACTCCGTTGGCTTGGGAAGTCAGGAAAACGTCTCCTTGTCGGATATGGAATTCAACCGTAATTCCAAAGTCCACTAGTCCCTTGCGGAGAGCCAGTCCGACGGAGTTGGTCTGCAAAAGTCCGGTCGACCAAATCATATGTGAGAATAAACCGATTGTAACGGACAACAAAATTAATCATGCTAAAGAGGAATTTGTTCATAAATTGTTAAAAGATAATAAGAACAACGTTTGCAAGAGTTGTTCCCCCGACGTTAAAGAGAAACGTAAGAATGGAGTGGACAAGACGGGAAATCAAATACCAAGTAAGGAAAAGTCCACGTCGACGAAAGCGTCTAACAAAGTTCTCGTGAAACAAACTGTGCAATCGAAAACGAATAGCTTTGTGGATCGCAGGACGTTGAACGACGGTGTAACGTACGATTCGAAGAATAAAATGGATGTTAGAAATATTTCTAAGCAAACAAAGGACTGTTTGCATAGCAGTATTGTAAAGCCAGTTGATTCTAATTTATCTTCAGAAAAACGAGAAACCTGTAGAAGTGATAAAAATGTTCCGCCGAGTTCGTGTACTAATTGTGAACTTGTGCAGAAGGAATGTAATGGCGTGAACGTTAAAGACGGTAAGACAGAGGGGAAAAGTACAGATAGCAAATTATGTAATAATAATAACGGACTGGGAAAGAATGAAATTAATGCCAAAGTTAAAAAGGATAGTAATAAAAAGTGTGAAAGCAACATTAATACTGAAAATACGGAAAAGTTGAGTACAAAGACAGCTAACGTTCAGAGTACTTCAGAAAAGATAAGTCAAGTTAATTGCCAAATAAGTAAACATCCTCACGAAATTGGCGATAAGTCAAATACTAAAGATATTCCAAATGCAACATCGAATAACGTAGATAAGAGCCCCATGGTAATTAGCGCAAACAGGCCTGCCTACGCGACCGTGTCGCAAACAAGAAGATCCAAAGTAGAGTCGTCGGGTTTATCCGAAACTCCAAAGTTTATCAGAAGTAAAACTTGCTTAAGTGATAAAAATTTACCTGCTTCAAGTAAAAGAAGGCCTGGAACGTCTGTTATTGTGAGAGGACGGTTTCAAACTCCTGAAAATAAGGTATTATACATATTTCATTAAACTATCATATTATGTACTATTATATTGTGTACAAAAAAAATGTATTTTTTCAGTTATCAGAACAAAATGCAAGGAAAGATCAAAATAGAGACATGAATGGATCCGTAGAAGTTTTAACCAAACAAACGGTATCTCCAAAGTTAAAAGACGAAAGTGATGGCTGGCAAACAGTAAGGAACCGCTGTAGAAGAGGGAGCACTCATAATTTGAACATGTCTACACGCTTTCATAAACCAAGCACTGCTCTATCCTTGCCAGCTTTATCAATAGAAAGCCCATCGGAGAAGCTGAAGAAGACTAGTTATACTCCAGATGGAAATAAGCAAAAGAAAAAGTGCATTGTAGGAAAAACCGGCAAAAATATGAATAATGAGGTTGAGAAAGTTAAAGGGGAATTCATAACATCTACGATTAAAAGTAATCTCGAAGACGCACTTAAAAAGAACACGTTAAATTTATGTGATACCAATTCGACATCAGTGATCGCAGCTATCTTTAAGAATGACGCGGAATTACTTGAGAAACGTATACAGCAGTTTATGACCGCTCAGGCAGAAAGAGAAAGAATTATCCTGGAGGAAGAAAGAAAGACGGAAGAAGCAGATTCTCAAAGATCTCAGCAGCTATCGGATGAAGAGGCGTCCTTAAAACGGCAGATTTTGGAATTAGAGTCCACTGAAATTGACGTTGATACTGAAACAGATGAAACGGATGGTGAAATGGTTCTCGAAATGGAAGACGAACCTGCGGTATCGCTCAGTGTCACTGATGATATTAGTTTAGAAGACAGGTATAATACATAAAAATCTATACATATTGTTCAGTGTCTCGATAGGATTGCCAAATTTTGTTAACAAAATGAATGTTACAGGTACGAAAATATGTTAGAGGGAATGTCTTGGGCGGAACGAGTCGATACTCTTGCACAATTGCGTGCATTGGTAGCTCGCCATCCCGGGCGTGCTTTAGAATTACATCAGAAACTTTCATCTCCATCGCGAAAAAGATCGCTTCCTGAAACGTTAAGAAAATATCAAGCGAAACAAGCCTGTGCTCAACACAAACGTCAAACGCTGCTTATGGAGAAATCGCAACGATTGCGAGAATTATTAAACAAAGTGGAAGATGTCAAAAGTGCAAAGAGTCAATTGATAGAGGACAAAAGAATCAGGATGGAAATGAAACTTAAAAGGGCGGAAGAAAATAGGACACAACATTTATTAGAAATAGTGAGAAAAGCACATGACGAGGACTCAAAGTTGAAGGAAATAGCTTTCATCAATGAATTGGAGGCACAAAATAAAAGACATGATTTTATGGCGTTATGTCAAGAACAAGAAGAAAGATTACAGGTATGTATTCTTCCAAAAAATGACATTTTTAATAAAAAAAATTCAGGATTTTTTAAACCTGTATATTGTATAGTATTAATGTGTAATTATGTATAATATATGTTACTATCGGTGTTACGTTTTTAACACAAGCATGACTTGTTATATAGGGTATTCAAGAAGAACGTCAACGTCGACAAGAGGAAAAAGCTGCCAAAGAAGCTGCGGCTGAGGAACGTCGAAGAGCTTTGGAAGCAGAGCGGCAGTTGCGAATACAAAAAATGAAGCAAGCACGACGAGAACGTGAGGAAAGGGTTGGCAAAATGCAGCTCGAGCGAGAAAAAGAACGACAAGTACATGAATTATTATTATTATTATTATACCATCGAGATATCTTTATTTTATAGGTGGAGTTTCTAAGTTACCAAGTTTAACTTTGTAGGAATTAGCGAGAGAAAAAGCACGAGATCGCGAAGAACGTTTGTCGGCACTTCATGCAGCGCAACTGGCTAATCAGGAAGAGCTGCAGAAGAAAATAGCGCAGAAGCAGCAAGAATCCACTAGGCGGCATGTGGAGAACATTGAGCACATTCGGCAACGTGCGGTTGAGTCTTCGATTTTAAGATCGGAGGAAGTGCCACCCACTCTCAAATCGTATCCTGCTCAAAAACAGTGCTCTCTATGTGGCACGATTGTGAGTTTCCCCACACAATTACGCGACGTAATCTTTTTTTTTTTTTAACTTGAGACTTATTGCATTTGCGTATTTTACAGATATCTAACGAGGTGCATCTTCTAAGCCACTTGAAAGGAAAGACGCATCTTGAAGCAGTACGAAGCGCGCATGATAATCGCGAGCCGTCTCGAGATGAGCTTCAGCGTTTTAATATTGCGCAGATACGGGACGTTTCCGTCACCGTAATCAATAATAATAACGCGAACAACAGCAAGGCTGTGAAAGAAAAGCAAAAAGCGCTGAAACGTCGATGTAGGAAAATAAAACAGCGTATGAGTTCACGCGGACAGGAATGGGAAGACAAGTGCAAAAGTGAGACTAATCAGAATTTATCCGTCGAATCAGCCAATAAAGCCAAATTTCGCCGTAATTTGAAAGAATTAGATAGATTATATAATAATCATTCCAAATCAGCATGGTCGAACATAGCATTGGCCACCTTGGAGCGCTGCTCGGGAGAAATTGTTCGAGCCTTCTCCAAATCGGTAGGCACTATAGAGAAAGTAACATTTCCTCTCGTGTATTGTTGACGAAGTCGTATAATTATATTTTATTCGTTTGTTTCGTTTCAGTGTCCACTTGATCAAGATGCGTTTAGATGTTTGAATGGATTTGACACTCTAACAAACTTGTTGAATTTAGGCTTAAATACACAAAATGCATCATACATTTTACCGAATAAGTAAGTATAATAAATCTTTTAATTAATATTATGAGATTTTTATTCGTATCTGAAATTTTAGAGCAATCACATCACTGTGCCGAGTTTACAAGGCCGGGATCAGTGGGAACACCGAGAACACAGAGGCTATTTTATTAAGCAACAAGATTCTCGTTATCCTGGATCTACTTTTACAACGTTTAGAGGTAAGTTTGTGTATAGTTTAACTTCAATAATGATTATTAGCGTATTAACCATTCATATAGTGTACTGCTCTATGTGTACCTACCATGTAGTATTACATAGGGTACTATAAATTATATGAATTTATGTAAAAAATTTGTTTGAGATAATTGTAGTGCTATATTTTTTAATCCAATGATTTATAATGAAGGAGTAGTTTTTTCTAGATATTTTATAATACGATATTCTTGTATTTGAGTATAAATATCGGCCCGTTGCATCATTGCTGGATTCATTGAAAAAATTAATATATTACTCAATTAAATTCTTATTTGTCCCTAATAAATTTTAAGGAAATATTTTTAAATACTGTTTAAAAATTGAAGTCAGTAATATATCTGAATTCACCAATATATAGCACTACTTGTTTAATAATCAGACTATGCGTTGAGAACTGCGAATTAAATTAGACTAAATTATATTTCGATCAGATAACTTTAATTTTAATCCGCTTTATCTCTTTTGGTTGAAATTTTCAATTCATAAGTCTAAGAATAATATTGACCTGCGATTAACCAACGATTAACCAACAGAATTGCTCAAAGCAAAATTTCTAACTATAATTCATAGTCCCTAAACTAATCTTTCTTTTCCTGTATCAAAAAATTGATAGCAATAAATCGATAGTTTTTCATATTAAAATAATACTACAAAATAATACTATATATAAAATTTGAATCGGCACCCTATCCGGTACGTGCTGCCCTCTGGGAATAGAGGGTCAATTTACTCGACTAAGGAATCTTCGAAATTATCTCCCAAAATATTTTATTCGTTAATTCTTTAATGAGAAGGTAAAAAAAGAACTGATCTTCAGAATTGAATCGATAATGTCTTGATCTATTCTGACTCTCGTGTAAGCACGTTCAGATATGTGTGATGGTAGGCGGCAACAGTTTTCGCTTTCCATTAGTCATCAACGTGGATGCGTCGACGGGCTTCAAATTAAGGTTGTAATCCGGGAATTGTTTGCAAATTAAATCTCAGGTAATTATACAATGAAATTCCGTTCTATATTTAGTTTCGAGGGAACCCTATAGCGGAACGAACGCGCAGTAATTGAAATGCGAGATTACTCGAAAATTGTTAATAAGGATACCGGCAGATTCTGGTCGCATATATGTATTTTTATTGTGATATTGCAAAGGACGTATACATTTTCTTTTTCATAAACTGACCAGATATAATTCCCTTTACGTTTTGTTTTCTATCAAGAAGAATAGGGAATTTAATCTTAGAATGTTTGTGAGTGTGCTTGCGTATTACACATGTTATTTATGCATATTTTACAAATATTTTTTATATTTTAACATAGACGGGCAAATAGAACTACGTTCCTTTTCTAGAGATTGATGATTTATTAAAAGAAGCTACGTGGAATTATATACATATATATAAATTATATATATAATAAATAAAATTTTATTTTACATTGTATACATATGTGCAACTTGATATCACTCTTTTCACTTCACATTACTCGCCTAAAGTATAAAACACACTCCAGCCTTAGAAATCTACTTAATTTACAGGATAAGATTTTTTTTATTAATCGAATGCTGTACAAATTGTTTCACAATTAAAGAAAAACTTTTAAGCTTGTCTTTATTCTATTTTGGACGCTATATAGAATATTATCAACCTTATTTAATTGTAAATCATAAAAAAAAAATGAAAATTGAGATATAATGGGGTGTAAGATATACCTCACGCGAATAATGTAGGTCTAAATAAATCAATTTCTAGAAAAAGAACGGCACTATTTGCCTGTTTGCCGTTAATTATCTAAAGGATTGACGAACAAAAGAGTTTTCGTCTCTTAATAAGGATGCGAGCCAAAGTACACGGTGATATCCGCGTCGAACGAACATAAACGAGCATAACGAGCATCGTCTTCTAAAGCGAGCTAATGTGGTAGATAGGCATGTAGATTATAGCTTGTTTTGTCTCTTTCTTTCTTTATCTTTCTTTTTTTATTTTCTCTCCCTTTTTTTTTCTTACCTCGTTTCGAGGTCGGTAAAGGGACGACGGTAAAGACGATGTGTCCCTGTCATCCTGTCCATTCTGTCCGACTTGTCAAAATAAGGATTAAGAATCTCGGGGATCCACGATTTCACGTCACGCGGTTGCCTTTCGGACTCGTTTGAGTGTCGCGGTAGGCACTGGTAGGCACGTATCGCTTCCCCGATAAATGAAGGGAATACGACGTACTAATTTCGAGAGACATGCTGGAGAATAGGAAAGCTGTGCAAAATAAAAATCTTACCTATAGGGTGACAGTAATTATAAGCTTTTATTAAGTGTTATCCGTCCTTTTTCTAGAAATTAAAATCAGTTAAAAAAATGAATTATACACATTGTATATATACATATATATAATTGTAAAACATAATAAAATTTTATTTACGTACATATATAATTTATATATAAACGTATGTATATAATTCCACGTAGTTTCTTTTAACGAATCAATTTCGAGAAGAAGGATGCACAGCTCTATTTGCCTGTTTATGTTAAAATGTATATAGGTTGAGCAGTACGCTACATTCGCGTTTATTAATCATGGATAACCCGATACGATGTCGATACGTTTATGGTTGCGATAGAGCTGCTATTATCGCGTTAAATATCAACATAAAATCTATATAACAAAATTCACGAACTAGACGACAGTTACATATATATCGTTGATTGAAACCGATGTAGAGAATGTCTCTGTGCTTTTACATTTTTTTTTTTAAAAAGATTCTCTAATGTTTAAACCTCATCATTAAGAGAAAATACAGATTTAAAATATAAAAATTGCATTTGTTTTTTTATATACGCATTTATCTTTTTTTTCATCGAATTCGCGGTTCAATTAATTAAAAATATTTGATCACGGCGCTTCGGTGTGCGCGGTTAGCAAAACAATATGGTTCGGTTTAATTCGATTTACACACGTCTGGCGTTGTCATTTTGTATACGTGTCAATGAAATATCGAGCAGTGCTTTACGCAGTTAATTACAAAACGGCAAATATAATTACTGCGACCGATCGTTATTCTTTTTTCTTTTTAGCGCAAACACTCGGCATTTCGCATGCGAGTGATATCTTTATGCAACAATAAACGCGATTAAATTTATATATCAAAGAAATATTAAAATCGTTATATACCTATGTTCACGTTGATTTTCATTCTTTTATCTAGAATTTTATCTACTTTGACGACTCTTCTCTCTCTCTCTCTCTCTCTCTCTCTCTCTCTCTCTC